TTTTTTCATTGTTGGGAGTTACACCACAAATGAAACAAGTTTGTGATTAATGAGTTTCCGTCAAGGCGTTTGCACAGTTTTCCATCTGTCATCGTCAGCAGAAGATTATAGTTTACAAAAATGGGACTCTTCGGCACTAAACATTATTCATGTTGGAAGGAAATTATTGATTTCTTCCAATACCTTTTACCGTTAATTCCTTCGCACAAATTAATTTATACGAACGACAAAAGATCGTAGGTGGTGGCATAAGATTCTACCAAATGATAGTGCCGCGGCCGGGACTGCTAATGGGAACGAAAGAAAACAAATAGAAATTCAGCATTATCCCCACTATTTTTAAACTTTTTTTAGTGTGACCAGAACTTCCGTCACAACCCCATAATTTACTTATTATAGTGGACAACGAATCCGGAAGCAGATTATTTATTTAAACATACATATTTTAGAGCTTTAAAGACAAAAATGATGACTAATTTAGTTCCGAGCCATCCTTTAAGGGTAGAAGACGTCTAAATTGAAATTGTTGACAGCTACATATATCTTGGACATACGGTAAAAATTAGCAGAGATAATAAAACTGCTGAGCTGCTTGAAAGAATAACACTGGGATGGGCAGCATATGGAAGACTGCGTGATATTTTTAAAGGTGATATACCTATCAGCTTAAAAAGAAGAGCCTTTAATCAGTGTGTCCTGCCTGTTCTTACATATGGCACAGAGCCACTTACCCTAACAAGGACATCTGCACGAAAACTACAAGTGACGCAACGTAGAATGGAGAGATCATTGTTGGGCATAACGTTGCGAGATAGGGTAAGAAACGAAGAAATCCGTAGAAAAAGTGGTGTAGAAGAGATTATAAAACACATAGCCAAAATTAAATGGAGGTGGATAGGACACGTCGCTAGAATGAAGGATAATAGGTGGACCAAAAAAATCTTGGAGTGACGACATAAAGAGGATTTGTACCTACTTGATTGCAGCAGCACAGGACAGATCTAAATGGAGGTTTTTCGAGGAGGCCTATGTTCAGCAGTGGACTACTATGGGCTGATGATGATGATGATTTTAGAGCTTCTATTAACCGCTCAACTGCATGCGTTTCTGTGACGACAATAGGTTCCTTTAGAACAGGCATGTTTGTGATTTACTTAAAGAGTAATACGATGGCAAGAAGTCATGACCCGCCTTCAAACCCCACTTCCTTGTCTGCTTGTATGAATGCGTTGTAGATTTAGAGTCTATGTAATAGGCTAATGCTTTATCTCCACTTAATTGCATATCATTCTCCAAGGAAGTCGATTTTTTCTCATTAAAATATGTAGCCGCTACTGAGAATTCATTTGTGCTCCTAATTGCTTTAGCAATGTTCCTTGTTCCTACTGCATGCGCGCTGCTGCTTCTAAATCAGTTACCAACTCCGCTACAGTCCGTGATTGAACAAGTTCCTTAACTATACATTTTTTTGTTATAAACGATGCCTTGTCAAAATGTTTCCATTGTCTTCCTTCTTCTAGTGCTGTCTCTGGTTGACTATAACCATTGCAAATTCGTCTCTATCTTCTACTTTTCTTAATTTTCTTAAAAGCATCTGTGTGTTTAACCCGGTCCGGTCGTGAATGCTTTCACTGCGATCAGCTGCAACAACTCGTACTTATAATTTCTAATTATATGCCCCAAATATGCTATCTTTCGCCTTTTAATGGTGGTCAAAAGTTCTCTGTCTATTCCCATTCTGCGCAACACCATTTCATTCGTAATATGATCGGTCCATGGTATCTTTAAAATTCTCCCAAACAGCTACATCTCCAACTTTCAGTTTTGGAAGTCTAGAAGGTTATATGGTCTTCCTATATTGCAGAAACCTTGAACTGATGTGGAAAATCGCGACAAAGTACATTGAACTTCGAATTTGATGTGTTCACCCAAAACAACTTTCATTAGTTGCTAAAAAACGCTGCTTTGGTTTTCCTGCAACAAACCATTTATCAGAGATTTTGGAGGCATAAATTGCTAGCCTCATTCTGATCGACTATATCCGAGGATACTTAAGATCCCGTGGACTGACCGAGTCACAAATGAGGAGGTCCTCAAAAGAATGAATAAGAACCGAGAGGTACTGACCACCATCAAATCTTGAAGGTGACACAATTTTTCGGGCATATTATACAAAATGAATCCAGATATGCTCTCCTTCAAGCCATCCTGCAAGGAAAAATATTTGGAAAACGAGGTAGAAGAATATCTTGGTTAAAAAACCTCAGAATCTGGTTAAATACATTTGTGCAGCTTTTCCGCGCAGCTGCAGATAAGATAAAGATTGCCATGATGATGCCAACATTCGTAAACGGATTGGCACATAAGGAAGAAGATTCTGAATAGGTAAAAGAAATAATAAATAAGACTTACTCACAAACAGTTTAATTTAACTATCTAGACGACCGGTTTCGCTTTCTACAATTTGCAAATAATCTTCAGGTCTGTCTATACTAAGTTAATTAAATGATGCCGGTACACTATTAATTAATGGTTGGGAGAACATAGTTCAAACTATCCTGTAATTGCTAAACGGGGATCTTCAGTTTTTTCTATTGTATTTGTTTGACAATCAACGGGGAAGTTTCTTGTGGAGATAGATTTTATCCAATGAAGTAGAAAATAGATGTAATGTGATTGTTTGTTAAATGAAAGTGATGTTCTGTATTATTTAAATATGTGTTATTTATTGAAATTTTTATTAAGGTGACAGCTGTATGACAATGAATGAAATTAGATGTACATTTGTGTGGGTGTGCAAATTACTTTAACTTGTAATTATCAAATTTATTTGATAAAGTTCAATTAGCTTACTGTTATTTGACAGATGATTGTAAAGTCAAATATGTTAAAATTATTAAAACTAAAACAATTAAGGACACTTAGGAACAAACAGAACACACTTAAAAAGGACAAAACAGACATTAAATTTAAAAAAAGGGGGGACTTAATAGCACTACATCTCTGAATTGGAGAAAATGAGCTGTTTTGTTGTCTATTAGATTTTAGAAGACGCCTCTCCCCCCAAGTCCCCCCTTTTTTTTAAATTTAATGTCTGTTTTGTCCTTTTTAAGTGTGTTCTGTTTTTTCCTAAGTGTCCTTAATTGTTTTAGTTTTAATAATTTTAACATACTTGACTTTGCAATCATCTGCCAAATAACAGTAAGCTAATTGAACTTTATCAAATAAATTTGATAATTACAAGTTAAAGGAATTTGCACACCTACACAATTGTACATCTAATTTCATTCATTGTCATACAGCTGTCACCTTAATAAAAAATTTCAATAAATAACACACATTTCATTAATATATCTCATGAATAAATATAAATAACTTTTAAAGAATTAAATAACACAGAACATCATCATCAACATCATTTTGGCTTTACAACCCTGTGTGTGTCCTAGCCTCCCCAAGAATTCTCTTCCAGTCGTCCCTATCCATCGCCTTCCTCCGCCAAGCACGTATTTCCATATTTCTCATATCTTGGTCTATGTTATCTACGAATCTTGTTCTGGGTCTTTCTCTTCTTCTTTGACCAACAGGTCTATCAAGGAGCGTTTTTCTAGCTGGGTCGGTTTGCTCCATCCGCATTACATGGCCTACCCACCTCAGACGTCCTATCTTAATGTGTAGATATAATAATAACTGTAGATTTAAAAAGGATATTAAGCCCAAAATAGCATCTATTAGCCGTGCAAATTCTGCGGTTTATCTCTGTGGTAGTGTCATTTTCAGTATTGACGAGCGTTCCCAGGTATACAAATTCGTTAACTGCTTCGATGACATCGTTTTCTATAACAAGTGGCCGTCGTATTTATGGTTGCGGACCTATTTTCACGTATTTCGTTTTATTTGTAACCCATTTTTGTAGCCGCTTCCTTTAGTGCTACATACGCCACTCGTGCTGCATTTTCCGTTCTCCCAACAATATTGATATCATCAGCATAATATGCTAGGATTTGCACAGATTTGTTATATATTGAACCGGTAGTTGTGATTTGTGACGTACGTATTACTTTTTCCAGAGCTAGATTGAATAGTACACAGGAGAGTGGGTCTCCCTGACGTAGCCCATTATTTGTATTAAAAGATTCAGACGGTGATTAAAAGAAGCCGATACATGATTCTTTTAAATTCTAGAACATTCTCTCATTAATTTAGAACTCTTGGAACATAGCCTTCATTAAATGCAATTAAAACTGATTTAGTAGCCATATAAAAGAATATTTGTATATTATCTCTCAATGTTTAAAGTTAACTTGACATACCTGTTGTATGTCATAAAAACTAGTCAATAAAATTTTCGTATCATATTCGTGTTCTTCAACCCAAAATTAGTAAGATTTGATTTATGAAGTGAATGAAACATTTAAATCTTTTGTAGAGCAGCTTTATTAAACTAAAAGCAAAAATATTTATCATAAACAAGAATAAATAAATAAAAATGTATAGAAACTCATTTGCTTAGACAAGGAAAGAGAGAGGACAGGCAACGTTCATTTAATATCCTTCGAAAAGTGAAGTCAGTTTCAATGTGTCTGCCATGTTTTCTGACTACGTTGCCCATTACTACCTTTCGCAGGGTTACCAGATCTACTGATTTTACCTTCAATTTACTGAAACACTATCGATCTACTAAAAAATATGTAATGATAAAATCATGTTCAAAAAGTTCAGTTTTCAATTCTAAATTTATATATTAATATATCCATTATTCTCGATCTACTGAAGAAATAAAATATGAACTGGCAACTTTTTTGGTGCCAGCTGGTGCCAATTTAGGTTTCAGTCGATTCCATACGATTACTCGTCCCCTCTCTTTCCTTGTCTAAGCTAATTTGTGGATAATAGGTCTTCCTCTTCTTCTATTCTTTTATTTTTCTTGACAGGAAAGTCTTAAAATATAGTACACGTTTCCTCTTTTCTTTTATATATATTAAATAAAAAGACAAAATAGTACGAAATGATTTACTTACATACTCCTTACAAAACAAATTTTGGAAATATAACAGATTTGGGTACGCTACAAAAACTGCCACTTCAACATGATTCTATAATTAAAACTGTTAACAATTTTTTACATAACGTAGAAAGAAACTAATAATTTATATCAAAAAGCCAAGTTAAGATTGATGATAACATTGAATTTAAAGCCACAGCGGTGAATATCTTATTGCTGTTTACAATTCTGATCTTTGTTAACCTTTGTTGCAACCTCTTTATCATCTGAATCCCCATCATCTTCCTCGTCGTCTTCTTCCTCCTCTTCTTCGAAATCATCCTCGTCTTCACACGCCTCTCCTGTGAAGAAAAGAACGGCTCGAGGAACGATCCTTTCTCTAATATAATGACCGATTTCAAAATCGGTGGTAAGCAAATTTCTTAAGTCTTCATCTACTTCTTCCTCCTTTGCATCATCTGGAATTGTTGGCGGGCTGAAGAAATTAAAGAACGAATCATTTTGGACAGTTTTGGTAATTGTGCGTATCACGCCTCTGCTCTTATGCTTCTGTTTCTTCTTAACGGTTTTGACAGTAACGTTTTTGCCCTTGTTCCAATTTATTATGCAGCCAGCACACTTAAATATTTCGGGGCCTTCGAAGCTGAATGGGTCATCATCTTCTGGCGCGCATTTCATATCATATTCCTTCGTGAGCACGTTATTAGTGAAGTATTCATTGGTGGAGAAGTGGAATTCAAGAATGAATTTCTGGAAAAGTAAAATACAATATGTTGAAAAACGAATTTACAGAACACATGTAATAAAAATATTATCCATATTGAATGTATACAGAGTAGCCCAAAAGTCTGGAAACGGCCAATTATCTCGTAAATTACCAGACAAAATATGAGTTACACTTATTTTGGGATACGGAGATTCCATATTTGATATTTGCAATGTTGCTAGATTTTCCGTTTCTCTTATATTATTAGTAACTTTGGTTTTTCAAATTCATCACCCTGTATATTCACTCATTATTGGAATCTCCTTTTCAGTTCAACCGTATGTAACACTTATGATTTTATGTAGTCTGGAAGGTCTTAAATACATAAAACAGAAGTTTGGCAACGCCTGTCTCAATAAATTTTTTAATAATAACTATTTTTAACTACATTAACAAATAACAATTGATAGATTACAACATTTTTTAACACAATGGTTACCTTATCAAGTGTTTAAAATGTGCCCCATTTGTGAGTTGACAGTACCCTAATCGATGGTAGAATGCGTCTACCACATTTTTCCATGATTGTCTAGAATTTGTTCGAGATTCATCGATTTTTCGTTGCCTTAGTTCTACAAGACATGCTGGTTTAGTTTTGTAAACTGAATTTTTCAAGTATCCCCAATAATCTTTAGGATTGAAATCAGGTGAACGACCATTCAATTCTACCTCGTCTACCGATCCATCGTCCTGGAAAATATCTTTTCTAAATAACCCCGAGCATTTACCCCAAAATGAGCTGGAGCTCCATCTTGCCCATTAAAATTAAAATGATTTAATTGCTAATTAAAATTGGCACCAAACAAGTTTATCAGTGTAGGTACAATTTCATTTCAAAGTAACATTTCGCAACTATTTGAAGTTAAATTTCCGTTGATAAAAAATGGCTCAATTAACTGAGTACCTATTATACCTGACCATACATTTAATTTTTGTGGTCTTTGAGTTTGGTTTTCACGCATCCAGTGTGGATTTACGTCACTTTAGTACCTTAAATTGTGTCGATTTACACTTCCACACAATGTAAAAGTTGCTTCATCGGAAAAACATATTCTGTTAACGAAATTTTTATCCTTTTCCATTTTATCCATCATTACCTCCATAAACTCTAATCTACGATCGAAGTCATCTTCACTTAATTCTTGCAATATTTGTATCGTTTAAAAATATTCTTATGTAATACACGTAAGACTGAAGAATGACCTACATCATGCACTTGTGGCAACCCTGCGTGAGGATGTATGTGGATCTTCAACAAAACTTTGCATTATATCTAGTTTTGTTGTCATTCATAACTCTTTTCGGTCTAACTGATCGGTATCTATCTAGTAAATTCGTAATTCGTAAATTGCTTGTCATTTTACAAAATTTTGTGTAAATGTTCGACGTTATTTAGAAGAGGTATTTCCTGAAAGATGGATTGGTAGATGAGGTAGAATTGAATGGACTCCATGTTCACCCGATTTTGATCCTAAAGATTATTTTTATTGGGGATACTTGAAAAATTCAGTTTACAAAAGTAAACCATCAAGTCTTGTAGAACTATCTCGAATCTAAATCTCGAATAATTTCTAGACAATCATGGAAAAATGTGGTAGACGAATTCTACCATCGATTAGGGTACTGTCAACTATTTTGAACACTTGATAAAGTAACCATTATGTTAAAAAATGTTGTAATCTATCAACTGTTATTATCAATAATAAAATCATAAGTGTTAAACTCGTATTGAATAGGAGATTCCAATAATGACTGAATATACAGGGTGATGAATTTGAAAAACCAAAGTTACTAATAATATAAGAGAAACAGAAAATCTGGCAACATTGCAAATTTAAGGTGTACCTTAAATTTTGTACAATTAGCAATTTACGAGATAATTGGCCGTTTCCATACTTTTGGGTCACTCTGTATACACGATAAAATCTTAAAGTTGAGCTAGACAATATGCCCCATTCATGAAATTTAATTTTTTTCATTTTTTACGTTTTACTTGATTAAAAAATAAGACTCAGCGCAATTTTAACCCTCCAACCCCTCCCCCCAAAAGCATATACTTTTACAAAACTTGTATATTTTTCATAGACATATTTTTATAGACTATAGGTTGAGTGTACATAAACTAAAAATGCATTTTTTTAGAGCATATAACTTTTTTTGGAGATGGCTGCAAGTCTAGTTTTTTTTTTCTATTTTGTGTATTCAATCAAAAACTATATTTCTGATTTTTTTCCAGATTTTTCCGTCAGGTGTGCTGTCTTCAAAACAAAAAAAAACTGGTTTTTCGCATAAACGATGGTTGTATTTTCCTCTTGAAACTACAACCCTCTTTTTCATATATTTTTTGAATATGCATTGGAGACGCATTGATTCAGGTTGTATCGATGTCAAAAAATATGGGAGGGGCGGGGTTAAAATTGTGCTGAATCTTATTTTTTTTAATCACATAGAACATACAAAATTGAATTCTGGGAGTGAGGACATTTTGCCTATCTTAACTGGGTACACTTCGATCTAAAAGATCCACAAAAACTATCAAAATTTAATAAATAACAGAGATAAATTTCAATCATAACATTTTGGTTAGTTTTGACATAACTCACTTATTTACAAATGTGCCTTTAACAAAACTTATACTAAATCTACTATATAATATACTAAATAAATAATACTAAATAAACTTATATATATATATATATATATATATATATATATATATATATATATATATATATATATATATATATATATATAATATACTAAAAATCAAGCTAGGGAAGGACGATACATTGACTTGACCAGATTAAGGTTGATCTGCACCCACAATTAATTTGTTTCTGATCCTAGAGATGGCTCTACTGCGGCATGCTAATTTGGTAAATTTTTTAACTTAATTGTAGATTTCTACATGATGACTCTGTAATATTTTCAAACCCTAATAATAAATTACAGTTTTCTATCATTATATCCATTGACTGAGTTGCCAAATTGTGTAGACAGTAATTTTATCAAATACGCTATAACTTTTACGCTTACTAGTAGACCGAGTTAGCAAAGATATCTTTAACAACATCTTTATGTATAATATTTTACTGCTCTGCTGTGTCAAAATAAACACAGTTATGGTTTTGCAGGAACACAAGGTCTCATTCACACATATCATTGAAAAATGATCTATATTTATTATCTAAACATTTTTATCGCCAAAGAGGTACTTAGCGGCGCTATCTGTGTCTGTAGCGGCAGTATCGTATTACCATTAAATTTATACATGCATTCATATATAATTTTTTTGTTGATAGTTAGAAATTAAATCATCTGGTATTATTAAATATTTTAGGGCGAATTATATGAAAAATAGTCAATCGTCTAAAACATGCGAACATGTCTTCTTTTTATTACTGGTTTCAGGTTTGTTATCTTCCTAATTAATGCGTCTTCTTCTCTTATTTGTATGTGGTCAAATTATCTCAGTCTTTGTGGATTAATAAATTTTACTATCTCTTCCCCTTTCTATCTCTTATTTCATGCTTCATTAGTCTTCTATATTCTCCGTGTTCAGGCCTTATTGGGCTGTTTATTCTTATAATTTGGCTTTTAATGATTCTTACTTTTTCTTTATCTTTTTTCGTAAGACATCTTTAAGTAGTGGGTGATATTTCCAAATTACAACGTTCTTCTCTTGCCTTGTGTGCGTGGTAGTGTCATGCGTTAGATGTATGATTTGGGGTGGTTGATACGTATTTAGTTATCACGGTTATATTTGATCTAATTAGTTCTTCAGTTTCCGTATTCGACCACTTTATAAAGCCAAATGTGATAAGTGGTATTGCGTATGTGTTTATTGCTTTTACTACGTGCTTTTAATTAAGTTTGCTTTGGAGTATTGTTATTATTATTATCCAGATTTAGCCATACGGCTCACACTCCCTCTAAGGGGAAAATTCACTCATCCCATATACCTACGGTATCAAAAGGATTGAGCTCTGGTGGGACTCTTTCCATGTTATCGAGTCCTAGGTGACTTGATACGTATTTGGACGTCGAAAGTAGCACAGCTTTCTGCATGACCTTATATAGATGTTCATTTAGACCCAGCTTTTTTATGTTTTCTAGGAGATTCTTCGGAATGACTCCAGTGGTAGAAAGAATAATAAGTATCGTCTGGGTACTTTCCATTCTCCATTGTCTTCTTATTTGTATTTCCAGATCTCTGTACTTGGCGATCTTTTCGTTGTACTTAACACTCAGATTATTGTTGTTAGGTATCGCCACATCGATTAGAGTTGTTTGTCTTGTTAGTTTATTAACTAGCACGAGATCTGGTCTATTATGTGCTACAGTTTGGTCTGTGAGCACAGTGCGATCCCAGTATAGCTTGTAGTTGTTATTCTCAAGCATACTCTCAGGAACGTATTGATAATATGGGAGATGAAGCTATTTTCTTGATTTCTTTCCCTACTATCCATATCGGCATTTGTCGTTTTGGACCTGAGGGTCCTTGACGATATATTTCAGGTAATTTTAGGTTGATATAACTCATGCGGCACTGAGTCAAAGGATTTCTTATAGCCAATAAAGGCAGTGAAGAGGTTTCTTTTTTTGGTGTAGCCTGGTTAGAAATGACTGAGTCGATAATAAGTTGTTCTTTGCAACCCATGGAGCCCTTAGCGCATTTTTTCTGTTGAGGTTCTATGATATTGTTTAGAGCGCAGTGTTGGTAGATACGCTGGGCTACACAGGATGTGACCAATTTATACAGAGTTGGAAGACACGTAATTGGGCGGTGTTTGGCTGGATCTTGGGTATTATTTTGATCCTTCGGTATTAAATAAGTTGTTCCCTGAGTTAGTAATGATGGTATTACCTGCGGATTAGAAATAACACGATTAATTAATGTTGACAGGCACTCATGAGCACTCCAGAACTTCTTAAGCCAGAAGTTTTGAACTCCGTCTGGTCCAGGAGATTTCCAGTTATGAAG